CTGATAAGCAGTTTTCTTCTTGTTTACTAACGTTTGCATATTCTCCGACCACCATTCTTGATTTTTTGTTTCATGTTTGTCTTTATACCCCAAAGCTTCACTTGCAGCCTCATGAATGTACTTTTTAAGTTGTTGGTATAATTCTTCCGCTGTTATATTTTCTCGATCCACATTTTGTAATTTTGTGGCCAGTCGTAATTTGTAAAGAAATTTTGTTGAATCTTCTTTTAAGCTTTCTAGGTTATATTTAGGAGATGTTACTTTTTGTCCCTTTTCTATATTCTGTACCTGAGTGTTATTGTTTTTGCGATAGTTAACTATCACATTGGCCATAAGTAAATGATGGTCGGATCCACATTCTGATCCACGGTATACCCTTACGTCAGTTGTTTTCAGCTGGGAAGTTTGACGTTGGATTACAAAGTCGATTATCGAGCGCAGATTCCTAGTAGGTTGTATCCATGTAAATTTGTGGATGTCTCTATGTTGAAAAAATCCATTCATAATTTTGAGAGACATTATTTCGCAAAAATCTCTAAGACGCATTCCGTTGTCATTGGTTATTTGTTCTCCATATCTTCCTACGACTCTGCTATTTTCTTCTGTCCCTACTCTGCCGTTTAAATCTCCTAGTATAAAGATTTCACAGTTTTCTTTAACTTCAGAGAGTATTTCATTCATATTGTCGTAGAAATCGTCTTTACTTTCTGGATTTGTATCTTCGTTTGGGGCATATACTCCGACAATTACGATATTGTGCCCATTCTTTTTCATTTCCAGTATTAGTAGTTGTTCATTTACTTCAGTCCACGATTTAATGTTGTTTTTAAGATTTTTTCGAATGGCAATAGAGACTCCCCTCTTAGCTCTGTTATCTTTACTCACTCCGCTGTATATATGTATATATTCTCCTATCTCTTCATTTCCTTTTCCCTTTTTCTTGGTTTCTGTGAGAACACATATATCTATTTTTCTTTCCGCTAATTCTTTGAATACTTCTGCTTGTTTGGTTCTCAGTCCTTGTACATTCCATGTAGCCAATATCATTTTCCTTTTTCGTTGCATTAGTCGTCTTTGTGTTGATCCATCCTTTGTATTCCGAGGCTTTTGGTCGAAATTTTTAGCATTAATTTCTTTTGACAAGGGACGAGTTGCTAGCCCATCGCCTCAACCCTCCTCCTTTATCCGGGCTTGGGACCGGCATCGGCATTTACTGAGCTACTCAATTCACCCAGTACTTACCGAAGGCGGAGTTAGTATCGTTCTTTCTAAAGATATTTAAGGATGCGTCGGATCGAGGAATAATTATGAAGAAGTATGAATTCTTATGAAGTTGGAATAGGTACTTGGTATCGGAATTTGGAAAGCCATGAGAGTTTGCCTAACTCTTTCGTAGAATGGTGGTCATATTCCTATTTTCAGTATATAAGTTTTTAAAATATAAGACAAAAAGAAGACCGATGGAACAAAATTCTTATAAGTTGGAGACCGTGGGACTATAAACGAAGCAGAGGAAGGCCCCAAATGAGATGGGCAGATGATATCAAGAAGCACGTGGGCTCTAAATGGATAACTGTAACGACAGACAGAGAAGAATGGAAAAGGATTGGGGAGGCCTATGTCCAAAGATGGACCGAAGAAGGCTAATTAGATAGATAGAAGTTTTTAAAACGATCAGTGAATATTTTTAAAAGTGAAACTGGAACAAACCATGAAGTGGAGATATCCAGGAGTGGCTAGTATACCTGTTGAATACAAAGCACGTGGTGTTCGTGTGTATTAAGGTATAAAAACGCTTATTAAAAGCTTAAATTTTTTTTATTATAAAGAAGATCTTTTCGGAATATGTATCATTCCATCATCAGTTTAATAAAAAAGGTTGTTAAAAAACATTGTGTGGCCACATAAAAAACATTCGGTTGACATCTGGATTTAAAAAATAATATTCTTCGTGTTATTTATTCAGGTAAATGCAATAGACTCTTGACTTTTGTAATGTAAAAAATGAAACTGGGGGCATCTTATATGACCCCCTGTAGTTGGTGAAGTTTTATTGACTTACATTACCTCTGATCTGTGTTGGAGTCTAGGGCTAACTCTGTGTTGGAGTCTAGGGTTAGCCCTAGACTCCAACACAGATCAGAGGTAATGTAAGTCAATAAAACTTCACCAACTACAGGGGGTCATATAAGATGCCCCCAGTTTCATTTTTTACATTACAAAAGTCAAGAGTCTATTGCATTTACCTGAATAAATAACACGAAGAATATTATTTTTTAAATCCAGATGTCAACCGAATGTTTTTTATGTGGCCACACAATGTTTTTTAACAACCTTTTTTATTAAACTGATGATGGAATGATACATATTCCGAAAAGATCTTCTTTATAATAAAAAAATTTTAAGCTTTTAATAAGCGTTTTTATACCTTAATACACACGAACACCACGTGATCAGTGAATATGTTGTATTGTAATAAATTGAATGTTTATTTTGTTTTTAATGTGAGTTTAAAGAGTATAAATGCTTGAGTGTCTGAGGTATATTAATTTTTAACATTGATAACATGTGTAGCTCCTTGAATGTTTTCAAATAAATCAACTGTTTCTTAGAAGGTTAATATTTGTTTTCGGAATTGAATAATTCTTTAATTGGTTGCATTAGGGTTTCTAAAGACTCTGTTGATGTTTTTGTTTTTATTCTTTTTTGTTTCTGGGTTGGCTTTGAAAATACATTGTCACTAGCTGATATCGCAATGGTGTTATTGCTTCAGATATAGTTATGTTAGTTGGATATGTTAAATTCTTGTGGTGCCGGACAGTCTTTATTTTCATTAAGAGGGCTAGAATTATTGTGTAGACTGAAAGATGAATACTGTTTAGTAATGCTTGTGTGGGATGATATGGTTGGTGAAGTGGATATATTTGTTTTAGATAGTACTGATATTGCATTAACTGTAGTCGATATATCGTGCGTTATTAAGTGGGTTGTAGATGATCTTTTTGAAGATGACGTTGAGGTATTTGATATATTTGTTGAGGTACTTGTTGTTGAAGGTGCCATAGTAGTCATTGCTGCTGAGGATACTGTAGTAGATTCATTTCTGTTTGAAAATGTAGTAGTTGGGACAGCTGTAACTGAGTTATTTACAGTTACTGAGTAACTACTGGAAATGTGGCCGTGTCGTTTGCAATGGAAACATACATTGTCTAGCGGTAAAAAAATTCGATTGTTAATGTCATCATATGTTATAACAATTTAATCAGGAATTGGGATTGTGGGTGGGATATATAAATATGTCAACGGAAACCAAAGCCAAAATGCTTTGGACTAACTAGAGCGCCTATCGCTAACAAGTATTCTTCTAAATTGACATCATTTAGAGAATTGAAAGCTATTGCTTGTAGTTTGGATGGATAGATTGGTTCTTGTTGTTGACTGGCTGCAGCTGAGTAACATAAAGGTGGTTGTGAAATAGATTGAGATAATGCATCGTTATTCTTAGTAACATCAAATTCCATTTTTATTTACCATTCGATTATCCTACATACGGACCTGTTTCGCTTCAGGTTTTGGTAATTATCTTTGATGATAAAAACTTGTGTCGATAAATGGCTGGTATAATTTATGTACTGTGTTTATAATATACTGTGGTCACTGATTACTTTATTAATAATAAAATATGTACTCACAGATCTTGTTTATTCGATTCACAATGAACTAACATTATAACACTGCATGATGGTGCAGTGTAAGAATTTTACAATTGTTATCACTTTGTAAATTTCACAATTTGTCAGGATTAATCAAAAAGCGTCTATGTTTATTCGATATCAGCGCCGGACTGCCTATAATTGAACTTGATAACCGGTAAATGTGATATTGAACTGCCCTATTTATAAATTGCGTCGGAGTGAAATGTTTCAACTGACTTTATAAATAGTATACCTTGCAGTCATGCAAGATATGGTTGATTATTTCAGGTCCTTTTCCACAGAGTCTGCTGCTGAGGCTCATTGTATGCAAATGACTCTTGACTCACCTAAAGATACTTTAGCTGTATCTGAGTACTATATGGTCAAAAGTCATCCATATGGTATCCTAGTTTAATGTATGATGTTACTATGTCCTAATGTAATCATTACATTACTCAGATTTTCTCGCAGTCTATATATTATTCTCGTCTCCCGCTTATAATGATGTGCAGAAGAGAGAGGTGAAGTAGATCCTCCATAGCTGCTATTGGTGTGCCTCTCAGAGCACCTACCATTCCATGCGATTACCTTGCTTTATTTCAGGTACCATACCGCTAATGAAATTGTCAATTTTACTATGTTACAACTTTAATATGGTTTTAAACACCACAGTTCTCCATGAGCGCGTCGGGCTACCATTAAAGTAGTCACCACTCTTTTGGTTATTCATTTTATCCGCTAATTACAAGTAAGTTTCGAGTGTAATATTACTCTCCAAAGGTATTTTACTTCACTAGCCAGATGTATATTTGTATCATTTAGGTTTAGAATGAACTAGAAATCTAGAAAGAACTCACATGCATTTTGCAGGGTAAAATTGAAGGAAAAAGAGCCACAGGACGAAGAACTGGCTTGCTAACCTGAGAGCATGGTATAGAAAGACCTCAACACAGCTATTTCGTTTAGCAAGCAACAAAATCATCATAGCCAGAATGATCGCCAAAGTTCGGAATGGACAGGCACCCTAAGAAGAAGAAGAAGGTTTAGAGGACCTAATAGAGGTTCTTGTCTTTTATTTTTACCATATCATATATGACGTTTTGACTTCCAAGTCAGAAATAATTTTTAAAATACAAGTTTTCAGTACTTTTTTTAAGATACAAGTTTTGAAAACACTGACATGTATGTCATAATGACTTACTAAATTTAGAACTTAGAAAAAATGTAGTTAAGATAGAATTAGTCTAATCATGAAATAATACTTACTAGCGATACAAAATAATGGTAACAATTTCTATCATTTACCTTTTAGTTAGTACTCCCATATCTTTTAGCTTTGGTATAGAATCTAGAATAGCAGCCTGAGCTTGTCTATGGAACATCATTTCCCTTTTAAAGTCGTTTAAAACCGGGTCTTCATTTGGAGTAAACTGTGTGAGCTTTTTATTATTCCTAAGCTCATTACTTCTTTTTTGCTCATGTGTCAACATTTGAGCTGCTAATTCAGGTGCTAAAGGGGCTTGAGCATTAATGCAGTCGAGTCGTTCTATCCATGGTAACTTGAGTTGTATTTCCTCTAATTTTTGTTTTAAACCACTCTGAAATTAGATTTGTATTAATTACATTTACATACTTACTATTCAGAATATTCATAAATAAAATATATGTATATATGTATTGTTTACGAATTAAAAGTAGTACCTATATTTTTAAATTGTGCTGTGTGTTTGGTAGTAATTGGTTTCAATATTAAATATTATATAAATATAAATAGTTTTACACAAGAGAAGTATACTCAAATTCGGAAAGTGAAAACTCAATTATTTGTTATTGAGATTATACCAGCGATTTTGCTTATAATTGTATTATTTAATTTTATAAAGTTGGCGCCTTAAGTACCCCCATTTCAACTATTTTCTGAATCATAACATAGATAGAAAATTTACAAACTTTTGAATAACTGAAATAAGGCATTTTTGGTCATAGTTTTATGATATTTTAATGTCGCAATGAATGAAAATGACAGTCAACCGTCATTTGTAAAATAATTTTAAATGAGATGATAGATAGATATCTTTATTTTTAAATAGGTAACTTAATATACAAAAAAAAGTTCTAACTTAAATAATTTTTTACATATAGAAAATTTTTTACATATAGAAAAAAAGAAAATCAATCAATTGAAATCAGTCAAATGTTTAACAACAAAAAAAGTCAACAAAAGTATAAAAGAATATTGTGTACATTCACTGTCAGCTCCCATATCACTTTATAGTCCCAAAGGAAACCTTTATTTATTCTCAAAATCAATAACAACTTGCAAACAATTTAACAAGTTCAACAACTAAAACTAAACTAAAATAGTGTGCATGTTCTCTGGTAATTCAAATATTACTTTATATTTTTAAGGAAAACCTATTTTTTTTTACTTTTAACCGTCCTACAGTCTTTTTATTCATAAGGCAACTCATTGAATTCTTTGAAAAAACTGCTATAATTAATTTTAGAAAAGTATGTCATTTTTATTTCCTGTATCATTATTCTCAGATCATGTCCGTGCATATTAGGAAAATTAATAAATTGCTGAAAATAATAGGACGCCACATTGTTTTTAATTTTATAAACCAAAATAAATACAAAAAATTGAAATCTTTGATATACCGAAAACCAGTTCAATGTATTCAGCATTAAGTTTATTGGTGTCAATCGGCCCATTCTTAAATACCACGATTGTGTAATTTCTGAAGTTGCCCCATTTTATTTAGGTTGAACATATATAAGACTGATGCAAAATAATCAAAATTAGGTAGGATTATAGAATTATATACAGTAAGCCTAGTTTCTAATGATTTATAATAAGTTTTAATAAGTTTTTGCTACTCTTGTAAAAAAATATAATTTCTTGCTGATTCTTTTATTTATATAAACAAAATGATCTTCCAATGAAAGAGTATTATCAAATTGAAATCCTAAGTATTTAATAGTTGTTATTATTTCAATCTTTTCACCATCCATGGATAAATTAATGTTATTCATATTTATTTTGCTATACTTATATTTACTTATTATAATTAAAGCTTTAGTCTCTGATACATTTAATTTCAACTTATTTAATGTTAATTATAATAACTGTATAATGTAAAAAAGTAAAATAAAAACTTTAATACTGTTTCTGTCGAGATCAAAATTTTCCCAATATGTCGTTTACCATAGTCAAATACTTTAATAATCTAGTTCCCTTAAGATCAATAACTTTTAGTTCACTAGCAGTAAGATTCGAACAATCACTGTGTGTATCCCTCTATCAAATGTCACGTGTTATATATGGTCTTAATTTATTATTTTACAAACAACACACTAAATGATAATTGTCAAATATTAAAAATTAAAGAATACAGAAAGTATGCACACCACTGGTAAATATTCCAACTCAGATGAAGCTTATCGTTAATAGATTTGGTAATTGCTTTTGAGCAAAAAGAAAAACGAAAAAGATAACAGCAAAACTCGAACAATTTTCACAGATTTCTTAAATCAGAACAATTTAACTTTAACAAATCAACTTTTGGTAAAAACTGCAGATTTTTCTTAGTATACAAGTATGATGTTCAACAATTAAATCGATGTTATTACCACTAAACTTCGGTCAAAACATATTGGGAATTCTTACTGTACCCTAAATGTTTAAAACTTGAACATTTACTCATATGGCAAGAAACACTGGCTGCACACCAAACACGTCAAGACATCTAACAGAGACAAAACATCTGTGCAACAAGATACTCATAGAAGGTAACATAATGGATATCAGTAGGTGCTCCTAAAAGGTCTGAGTCTGAGTTTCATGTTACAGACAAATAATGCTGAAATAAATTGCTTGTTCCTTTTCGATGTGTTATGACTGAAGCAGTATTTTAACCTGTGAATTGTTAGCACATTTAGCTTTTCGGTACTTAGTATCCTGCTTAAGTAATACAAGAAAATGACTGAAATAGTTGACAGTATAGTTCATACTGTAATAAGATAACAATTTTACTGGGTTGGTTAATTACTGTGTGAACATGTATATATCATACTATTCATAATAATTATAAAAATATGAATCAATCATTTTCTTTTATTTCTTTTAATAATCTTTTAATAATAATGGCATAATCTTAGCCACTTTTACATTCGATTTATCTTCATGTGACAATTAATCATACAGAGCAACATATTTCATTGGTATATGGATTTACAGTCTGTCCCAAACCCTTTTTTCAGTGCGTCACTAATTTTGACGTCATATAGGATTTAAAGAATGTCGAAAATTATTGCATGACATTTTAGTTAAATCTGACAGTTGCAGGATCGTAATCGGCTAAATGTGAAAAGGTTATTTTTTTTTTTTAATGCATAGCAGTTTGTCATAATTCTGTTCTATTCTGTTCTATTTTATACATTCCAAGGAAAGTGCTTAATTAGCTTAGATTCGTTTATGGATTTATTATTATTTATTACAAACACACAGGCATATTGCAATGACAATTGCAATTGCAAGGCATCAAAGTAAACATTCCTGTGATAAAATAACATCGATTTAAATCAGTCATATTTGGATAAGTAATTTTCTGATAAGTTTCTGTGGCAGCCAATAGTTTAATTTTGTGAAGATTTGTGATTAAATAGTGGAAATAGTTTAAATAGTGAAGCAGTTAATTTTTGAGTTATTCTACCAGATTTGGTGTGCAAATGAAAGAAGGTTATAAAGTTTAGTTAAAAAAACAATATAAATAGTTTAAATAGTAAAGCAGTTGATTTTTGAGTTAATCTACCAGTTTACATTCTTTTTTATGAATAACAAAAATGAATATTATATTTCAAACAATCCATAATCCCATTCAGAATCTGATTCTTTAAAATCAATGATTACACTAGATATGTGGCTGGTATCAATTATATCTTACATTTCAAGAAAATGTCGTGGTTCTAAAAAGAACCGTTTTAATACATATAAATATCCATAACGGTATTAGTTTAAGATATTTTCTCAATATCATTCCGGAATTCACAATCTGATTCGCGAAAGACAGCCTCTTTTTCTAATTGAAACTAATTTAATAATTTTAATATTAGTCTTTGTTCATTCTCGGTATATCTCGGAATATTTAAAATATTTTTATGACAATAAATACAAAATTTAATTTTCACTGTAGGTAAAATGTCTGAAAATACTAACCTGGAACGGCAATTATCATTTTATCAGTTGACATTGTGAAAGTACTGTCACTGTCATTATCAAGATCATCTGTGTCAAATTATATTTATATGCATAATTGATTGGATATCTATTTAGCGTATTCTAAACTCCAACCAATTATACGTTCGTAAGTAGAATTCGGTTTAATATGCGAATACCCGTGACTGATACCTAATTTTCTAAGTTCTATGTATAATAATCAGGACTCACGTTTTTTTCTGTCACTTCTAGCTTAATGCGTTAGAGAGAATTCGAACAACTATGACGCACTGAAAGAAGGGTTTGGGACAGACTGTAAATCTGTAATGTGACTGATACTTATGTCTTATGTCACTATCTTGATAAATTTGGTATGCTAACATATTGTAACATTTTTTTTATTCTGTCATAAACTAAATTTCAATTATAATTTTCACTTAATATTGTAATTCTTTTATTCAAAACCCACTATGTTCTATGCCATGAAACATACAATTTGTATGCCCCACTTCAGAAGACAAAGTATATCTGCCAGTTGGCAACTCGTGACTTCTGTCATGTTATTTAAATTCTGTAGAAAAGGGAAATTGTTGTTCATCTATAAAAAGTCATGCTTCTATTGAAAATTCATTTATATCGTTGAAACTTCTCTGGGTTCTTTGGTCTTGGAGTGATTTCATCAACTAAATATTCTGATTTTAATTAAATATGGTAATTCAGAATATGTTTGACAAATAGTTTTTTACTAAAATATGAACATTCTTATTATTAATGACTTAGTTATTGTGAATGAGAGGGTTTGCCTTCCTTTTTTATTTCTTCTTCTTCTTCAGATGCAAATCCACTAATGGATGTTAGCGATCACATTTTCCATTAACTCTCTATTTCTTGCAATATGTATCAGAGATTGTATGTCGTTAATCCCTGTCCATTGCCTTATGTTTCGGAGCCAGGACATTTTCTTGCGTCCCATTCCTCTCTTGCCTTCAATTTTACCCTCGATTATAAGTTGGAGGAACTGGTATTTTTCATTTCGCATGATGTGACCTAGATACGCCGTTTTCCTTTTCTTGATGGTTTCGAAAAGTTGGCGTTCTTGGTTTATTCTTTTAAGGACATCTATATTTGTGATTTTCGCTGTCCATGGTATTTTTAGGATACGGCGATAAAGCCACATTTCGAAAGCTTCCAATCTGTTTATATCCCTCGTTTTGAGTGTCCAGCCCTCTACGCCATATAGCAGCACTGACCATACGTAGCACTTAGTAAACCTTAGTCTCAGGTGAAGATCGAACTCAGAACAAGTCATTACCTTCTTGAATTTTATGAAAGCTTGTCGAGCTTGCTCAATGCGACATTTTACTTCCCTGTCCGATGCCCAGTCTTCAAAAAGCCACGATCCCAGGTATTTAAATTTACTCACTCTTTCTATGGATTTACTATTCAGTGTTATGGTGGAGTTTTCAAATGCATCCAAGTTTCTGGAGATGATCATGAATTTGGTCTTTTTGGTATTAATCTCTAGTCCCATTCGCTCACTGTATTCTCCGATTATAGTGACAAGTTGTTGAAGATCGACTATGTCGACTTTTTTATTTGCAAGCACCAAATTCATCATATTAAAAAGATAATCATCAGTATTGATCATGATGTTTACATTTCTCCTTTGTTAAAAGTTAACTTAGTACTCACCACATTATTTGTGAAGTGTTTTGGTCCTTCTTCCACAGTATTTAAGCCAGGTTTTAGCTTACCATCTGCAAATGCTTGTTGAAGCTAAAAAATATAACAATAAATTTAAATTAGTAAAGTTCATCATGTTCTAGTAGTTATTTTATCTGTAGTTGAGTTTTGCTAGGTAAATCAGATGAAAACCATCAATAAGCATGTGGAGGTACAAAATCAAAGAAAAACAATTAAAGGTAATAAAACAATTATGCTTGTGAAACGCAGGGGATTTTATAACCAAAAAAATAATATTTTTAATACAGTGTGCAGCAAAATTGCCAAAAAATATAATAATATATAAACTGACCTTAATGGGCAATTATAATTGATTTAATATAATATAATATATTATTTTATATTTAATATTATATATATATATATATATATATATATATATATATATATATATATATATATATATATATGTTTTTAATAATTAATAATTGAATTCGCTATGAATTTTGACCATGATGAACCCTTGCCAAGTAATTTATCAAGCTCTTTGCTTTGCAAGTTTTAGAAAGCACAGTGGTAAAAATTTGAATTCGATTTTGCCAGGTAGAAATCGTATGATTTCTCTTTTTGTTGTAATTTATTTATTTAACCCCCATTACAAAAAAAGATATGTTAACATACAGTATAAAATCAATCTCTGTAATTGCTTATAACTAAGTGAAATTAAAATCTTAATTATAAATAAAACAAAATATTAATTATATATGAAACAAAATGAATTAAAATAAATAAAAAGTACCTACAATTTGTCAAGCTCTTTTTATCTGATTTTTAAATGAAGCCAAGGAGACACCAAATATTTATAAATTGTTAATATTTATAATTTTCAGTGTTCACTCAATGGGTAAGTGCATACCATAACTTGTATGATAAAAAGGTATATAAAACAGATCAACATATCTGATACTTCTTGAGGGAACATATAAACTAATAGATTGGAGAAGTTCATCATCAGTGGCATCACAGCTTGTTATGAGCCAAAGCCTTCTTCAGAACAATCTTCCATTCGCCCCTGTCTGTGGCAACTCTTCTCCATGCTTGGAGAAGTTCAGGACAACAAATTAAACCATTTATTATTTTAAACACAAATACTAAATCAGAGTTACCTCATCGGGTTTTTAATATATTCATGTTGAATGTTTTTAAAATAACTGTATAATGATAATTATTAATGAATATGTTTAATTTATATGCACAATATCTTAAAAATTTGTTCTGCAATTTCTCAAATGTAGTAGAATGAACTTGGTATTGTGGAGACCATACCTCCTCCTCCTCATTAATAATCTCTTTTGGGATGTGATGACTCCATCAGGCCTTTACAGTTTTTTTCATGATTTCCCTCCATCCTTCTCTCTCTTGGGCTAGTCGTTCGGCTTCATGTAACCCTTGGTTAATCAATATTTTTGTTTGATCTGCCCAACGGCATGGAAATCTTCCCCTAGGTATCTTTCCTTCAACTCTAACCTCAACTATCAGTTTTTCTATTGTACCTGTTCTTCTAGCAATGTGTCCAAAATACTGCAAATATCTCTGTTGTAGTTGTTTAAGCAATCTATCCTTTACTTTAAGTTGTTCTAATATCGATTTGTTATTGCGATGATCAATCCAGGATACACTCAACATGAGGCAGTATACCCACAATTCAAAAGCATCCACTTTATTTTTATCCGCTTTCTTTAAGGTCCACGTTTCGTATGCATATGTGGCTATGGGAAAAATGAGAGCCCACACCCTTACCAGCCGTAGTTTTGTGTGTATTGTCATGCTAGAATTTTTCCAAATTGCTACCAGTTTCATCCTAGCTGTTCTAGCAATAGTCAACCTTCTATGTATCTCTCTGTCACACCCTCCTTCATTTGTTATTAGGGACACCAGGTATATGAAACTATTTACTACTTCAAAGCCCCCAATTTATTTAATGTGTTGAAGATTATTCCGAGCTCTGTCTACTATCATGATCTTTGTTTTACTCCTATTTAGCTTTAGTCCATATGTTTTGCTTTTTTCTTCCAGACATCTCATGATGTCTTCCATTTATTCTTGATTTGCAGCGATTATAAAAATGTCATCAGCATATCTCAAGTTATTGATTTTTTGACCTTCTACTGATATTCTGCCCTTCCATCTGTCTAGTACCTTTCACATAATGTGTTCGCTGTAGATATTACAGAATACTAGCGGAAATGTTCCCATTTCCACTAGTATGGACCATAGCTGCTGCCTTTGACTTTATCGAAGGCCTTTGTGTAATCCACAAAGCACATACAATACCATACAACAGTCATACCATACCATACCATACCATACCATACAAGAGACCATACAATAGATTCATATTCCATTTTAGATATGACCAAAGCTTAATAAACCATTCTTAAAGCTCAAACAGATCTTGAGTGTCTAAATAACCAAATTGGTCTATGTAAAAGTTGAATTAATCAATGTCCTAAGATTATTTTTTCCTAAGTTGTCATAGTAGGTGACCTAAGCATAAGCAAAAATATTTGTACTTAAGTAAATAGTTTTAGTTAGTGGAACTAAACGGACTTAAGTGAAAATTATTTCTTAAGATCAAATTTTAACTTAAATCGCATTGGTGGAACTGGGTGTAACTATTTCATATTTATTTCAAATAATTAAAGATTTATTACTAAACCTTTGGTAACAATTATCCACACATATTTGTTTAATCTGTAATATTTTTAAGAGTTATTCTCAATAGCGCAGCCTGAATTATGTTTAAGGGGGTGCATATGCATCTACACATATTATTAACCAATATAAAATACAGAACTATACATGTGCATACTATGTACTTTATGACCAAATTGGGGAGTGCAGATCATCAGTTGAATCAGATTCTAACTTGATGGTGAAGATGCACCCCTCCCTTCAACCATGGTTATTCTGATATAATGGCAGAGACCAATCCAATAATATTGGATTAATGTCAAAACCACAAGACTGTTTTTTTTTGTTTATGTTTACTGTTTACGAAAGACTGTGACATGTCGAAAAGGGAATAGAAAACGAATAAACGTGATAGAATGGAGTTCCTATGGAGAAGTAAGCTGAACCAAGCCATCCCAAGATGGGAAAAATAAGAGAATACATTAGAAGATGTTGATTAATGAAAAAACAGGCATAGAGGCCAAACAACTAAAAATAATATTTGCATTGTAGCAGAGCAAAAAATAAAACAATAAATAAGATACTAGAATGGACTTCAATGCAAAATGTGATTGATCGGATAGGAATTAGGTTAAAGAAACTTATATGCCAGCTGAAGAACAGCTAATACTACTATCAAAGGGGTGTAAAAAATAAATACCTCAATGTCGCTATCACTTAGTTCTGAATCGGAACTCATTCTTGATTATTCTATATTTTCAACATGCACAATGCAAATGCACAATAAACAACATAACCTTAAACTTTAAGCATTCATCTACTTTCACGTTGTTCGGTGCTTTCACTTTCGATAGTAAATTAGGTCTTTTGTTAACGAATTATTCAGCTATGCATGAAATGATTTTATCAATAATTACATAATTGAATTAAAAATTATTTTGTTATTGTTGTTTTGTTGATTTTTTAAACGTGTTTAGAAATAAATATGTTTATTAATATTTCCATCACATTTAATATTTGTTGTATAATTTGCAGTACTTTTATGTGTATGAGTTAAAACTTTTTGCTCGATAGTTAAAACCATCGAGTGTTAAAACCATTTTGGTAGAAAGAAAGAAGTAGACAATTATAACCTTCAAATTGATTTAGCAGTAAAATTAGGTTAAGGGTTAAAGGTGTAAACTTTATTTTGATTTTATACACGTGTTTAAGTAAAATGGGAAAAATAAAAAAAAGTAAAAATAAACCATAGAGACTCAAGAGGAATCATCAGTAGTTCCTCCCGCAGTTCGGCAATCTGATGATCCAGTTGATACAAAGGTTTGTAACTTTATTGTTTTATATGTATATTAGTAAGGTTCATTTGCCTATAGGGCATAGGGAGACTAAATCATCAATAGATATGCCTATCAAGACATACTAACATCATGTTTATAGAAGACTGGGCAATAGAGTTAAGAAAATATTAACCTATCTTAATAGGTTCAGTCTTTTTTACCAATGATTACTAAACACATTCAAACTGCAAATATTTAGTTTAATTAATATTATATGACTATGGTAAAATATTTTTTAGAGAAAATGGACGAACAAACAAAGGGTGCTCGTTTTTGCATCACGGGGAATAAACCATAGAGATCGACATCTCATGGAAGATATGAAGAAGTTAATGCCTCACCACAAACCAGAATCAAAAATGGAACGCTCAAAGACACTTTCAGTTATCAATGAAATGTGTGAAATGAAAAATTGTAATAAAGCTGTGATGTTTGAGGGTAGAAAGAAGAGAGATTTATATTTATGGTTATCAAATATACCCAATGGTCCTAGTGTGAAGTTTTTAGTTCAAAATGGTAATGTTTGTTATTAAAATTCTATTAAATATTGTAGCATTTCTAAAAGTCCTGAACTTAAATTGTATGTAGTATATTTATGACTAGTTCTTAATTTTCTCCTGGTATTGAGGGTGGTCCATGATTACAGTTGCATTACTCTTTTCTGCTGGTAGAATTATTATGGACTCATCTTCTTTTAAAAATTTTTGTGATTTTGTGATTTTTACTAGTTCCCTTTTACACATTACTCTGTATTCTTGTTTTAACAGTGTGTGAAAGTCTGTCAATAGTACCATTCAGTTTTAGTACTGATGGACAGTTACAACAAAATTTGAACCCTTTGAGAGCTTCAGATTATCTGTTGCATTGAGCTGACTTTAATAGGTTAACAAATATTGTGTTGTTTTCATTCTTTTTTTTTTGTTATTAAATTTAAATTGCTCAGGTTAGGCATATTTTGACAGATTCATTGTGGAAAACATAAAGCATAAAAATTCCCACCCATCACTATTAACACATTCAGCTCACCACTGCCTCTAGGGCATTACCCTCATTTTGCTCAAAATGCTAAGACTGCCTTGGAGGCATTTGTGTGTGTACCTGATATAATTCTCTACCTGTGCCTGTACCTGTGGCTAGTATCAGTTTGTTACATTGCGATGGCATTTAATAGAAAATCCTGCTATCATGTGTTGGGTTTGGTTTTTAGATTATTTATTGTTGGTACTCATATTAGCTGATTTTTGTTCAAAAGGTAATTCTAGGTATATTTACGGTTTTGTTAATGATTTAGTAGACATATAATTTCCCTTAACTTAGGAAGTAAACCAAGAATAAAATTGTGGTGTGATGTCAACTTAACTGAAATGAAAAGATTTTTACTTTTTCACATGGGACTATCTGATAACACTGAATGAATGACTATTGAAAAAAAAAATTTTGTTAAACCTACAGTGCTTTTTGTCCTTTATGAGCCACAATTGGTTCTTATTGATTTTGAGAATCCAGTTTGGAGATACTAAAAAAAACCACTAACACAATTGGGCAAAATTATGCTACTAATAAATTGGTATATTTATATACCAAGGTCATTTAAAATTTCACCAATATATTAAAGAAAGAGGCACAAATTCAGTATTAAACTTTATGTTTTATGTAAACCAAATGGCATCACCTTAAAAATATTGGTTTATGCTGATTCAACTGATCCTACATTATCCAGGGAAAAACTCTTCTGGCAGAGAGAAATTGGACAATGCCGATTCTGTTTATGGAAACTGTTTACAATAGTGTAAAGCTTGCTGAGAAGTTGTTACAGGGAAAATGGGTTAATCAAACTAATAAAATTAATTGGTTTAACAATGACTTAAAAGCAATGCGTGATCAACTGCACTTTTTAGAGTAGCTTAAAAAACAGTATCTGTCACCAGGCATGGAGAGGACATAATAAAGACTTTAAAATGCAATACAAACTTGTTGTAGGGAATGCAAAAATCATGGCAAATACAACATCATCAGAAATTCCAATATTCCAATTAAATCTATGTGGAAAATCATAAATGAACATTGGGCTGTGAAAAATACTAACCAACCTCCCAATATCAGTTCAAATATCTTTAATGATTACTTTTCACAGATAGTATCAAAACTATCCCAGTTTCAAATCTGAATCAAATAGATCTAACTCAAATAAATATATTAAATCAATGTTCTTTCTCAGAATTCAATAATTTGTCCAATCTTCAAAAAAAAGGAGACTCAAACCTGCCAGAAAATGATCAACTGATTATGGCTGACCGCTGCCAATTATTTTGAACATTGTGGAAAAATGTATGGCACTACAAAAAATAGATTTTTTTGAGGTCAATGGTATGTTTTCTAAATGTTAATTTGGTTTTTGCAAAAATTAAAAATACAGTTTTGGGAATATTTACCCTATACTGTATATTAGAGAGTCATTTCATGGGGTTCAATTTAATGCAGTCCTGTTTTGTGACTGAGCAAAGCTTTTGACTTGGTTAGCCATGCAATCATGCAGAAATGAGAAAAATATAACTTTTGTTTTGAGAGTATTGAGCTCATAAAATCATATCTGAAAGAGGAGAAAGGGTGAAGGTTGTTGGGGTGTTCTCTGCAGAATGTGTTAGATATTGAAGTGCCCTAGGGTTCTATACTGGGCTCTTTTTATTTTTGATTTGTATAAATGATCTTCCAAACATAGGTCATAATCCTAAGTATAGATACACTCTTGGCAGATGACACTACAGTGGCCTTTGCAGTTGATAATATTGAAGATGTGCTGGAGGGTTCTATTAGTCCACTCATATTGCTCAGTCCACTGCAGAGGACTGAGCAATGGTTTGCTACAAAAAGGTTGGATTGGACTGAACAAGAATTAAACTAAGCAAGTTCACAATGAGAGATGTGGGTGATAAGAATGCTGGAGTCAGCAAGATTAGGTTTTTATGAGTTCTTTTGAACCCAATATTACAGCGGGACACACATATTAAACTTGTGCAAAAATCTAAATAAAAGTCTTTTTACTTTGAGAAATCTTTCAAAATGCATCTCACTGAAGACTATATGTACTATGTATCACTCCATATTGCCTCACATCTTTCATACTCTATCCTTGTCTGGGGTCATGCAGCTGACACTCACAGAATATTTGGTGTGCAGAGAAAGGCAGTGAGGATCCTTGCTGGTTTGGGATTTAGGGAGGCCTGCCGTCAGGCTTACGAAAGATTGGGAATTCTTACTGCACCAGCACAGTACATCACGAATATAAGCATGGTTACAATACTAGGCTCAAGCAGAATATGATACCAGCATATTGGCGTTTGGAAAAGTATCAAAATGGAGCAAGATTTAGGGCAATAAAATGTTTTTAATGTTCTGCCTGAGAATGTCAGAAACTTGCCTGAAAAGTAATTTAAAAATAGATTTAAAAAAATATTGATAAAAAATTTCTTTTATACAATTCATGAATATCTACAATATAATTTTAATTCAGGTTTAGTATATATTTGATGTGTGTAAGATTTTATATTTTTAACATGAATAAACAGTATTAAGTTAATATTTTTCGAGCTTGGTGTTCTCTTTTGATGAATAGCAATTATAGATTCATGTTGCATTAACTAATTAAATATACAATTTATCTTTTTAACATATATTTTTCATTTTTTAGTTTATACAATGGAGGAACTCAAGTTAACTGGAAACTGTTTAAGAGGCTCCAGACCTATACTTAGTTTTGATCCTGTGTTCACAGAAAAACCACATTACAGTCTCTTAAAGGAATTGCTTACTCAAACGTTTGGAGTTCCCAGGCATCATCCGAAAAGCCAACCATTTTTTGATCATGTATACACTTTTACTGTTCTTGATAATAGAATTTGGTTTAGGAATTTTCAGATATTATCTGAAGATGGAGCCTTAGCAGAAGTGGGGCCTAGATTTGTATTAAATCCAGTAAGTTTGATATCTGTTTAATGGTAAAAGTCATAATAATTTCTGGTTGTAAGCTTCCAAATCATAAAAAATCTATAATATTACAGATAATTGCTTACAGGATTTGCTTAAACAGCCATGGAAAAATAATCCAGTAGAATTATTGAAACATTATTGAAAATTGGGTGTTTCAAAATTTTATTGTATTCAAAAAGTAATTTTCAGTCTGATAGTTGAAATTAGATCATAACTTCTTTTATTGCATGGAAACCTCACATCTAAACCAAGAAAGATTTTATTAAAGCAAGACAAATACACTGACGCATAGGCTGAAAATCAAAACTAACCATAGAAAATAAGCTTCTCCTGTACACAAATGTGTAATAAAACTGATTTGGACCTATGATATCCAGCTTTGGGGTTGCTCAAATGTCATCAAACATTAAGATAATACAAAGAGTTCAATCAAAACTATTAAGAATGATGTTCAATGCTCCCTGGTTTGTGAGCAGTAAAATCCTATAATGTGACTCACCTTTGGTAGAGGAAGAATACCAGAGAAGAAGTCTGAAGAATATCAAAAAATTACCTTGATAGATTGAGAGATCATCCAAATGAAGAAGCGAGGCTTCTGAACTCTGCTCCTGGATTCGCGAGATGACTGAAGAAACTAGGAATAATAGACTCAATAAATTAAATGTGTAAACTAGTGTAAAGTGTAGAAAAGCAGGGGTGTCAGAAGTCTTTCATATGCAAACATTCAAACCATTTGTGTATAGTTTCAAATCATACAAATACAAGAAACAATATTACAACAACTCTAAAGAAAAGACTATGATAATATCGGACACTGTTAGAATAAATAACATCTGATATATGCACAAAGATGTTTCATAGATAACAAGAAAGCTCACTTAAATAAATACATGCCTATGTTCAATAGTGAATTTATGAAAGGCAGCATTTCTGCTGATTTTTTTAAAAAGTATAAAAAAAGCTTAAATTATTTTTATATAGTTTTTAAACTATAACTATAATTATTATCCTTTTGTGTTTTGATAGACTTTCCATTTTAATTCAGAATATTTGTAGGTAAAGATATTTTCTGGGAGTTTTGGAGGTGTAGCTCTATGGGAAAACGCAAGCTATGTCAGTCCAGCAAGGTACAGGAACCAAGTCAGAGTTGCTGCTAAAAATAAATATGTTAACAGAATCCAACAGAAGGTTCACGCAGAAGCCACCAGGCCAACAGAAAGTTATAGGATGAGACCACTTGATGATATATTTCAAGGAAATCCGTTAGACAAAGCACAAGAATATAAAAAACAGGAAGTTGAAAATGAGGATGCCCAAACACCCATTGTTAAAGAAGAAAAAAATAAAAAGAAGAAAAAACTAAAGGGTATAACTAAACAAAATGGGAATAATGCTGGTAAGACGGTATTAAAGAAGATTAAACAAAATAAAAAGTCAAATGAAGCTAATTTAGTTAAAACTAAGAAAAGTAGCAATTCTATAGTTAAAGCTAAAGATAAGCTACATAAAGTGAAAAAGGGTAAAAAAGGTATAAAAGTAAAAATAAACGGACTGGCTAAGAAGTCTCCTCAGAAGTAACAGCATTGGATTAATTAGGATTAAATGTTATTCATAAATAAATTTTTTAATATTAACATTTTTTCTTTAATTTGCCTATGAACAAATTAGTAAACAAAAACATTAGTAAAAAACAAAGTAAATTTTAGATTTTGTTCTGTGGATCGTAATCACTACAAAGCCCTAATGAATAAAATGTATTTGAACATTTTAATTGGCCAGTTGGCCACCCAAAATATTCCATTTGGCAATATTCATTGTATTTTGTGAAAATTCTAAAACAGGTCGACTTTTATTCCAAAGGGGCCATCTTTTTGCGATATAGATATTTATCAAGATTTCTCTTTTATAGTTTATTCGTCTTCCGGGTTTGGACCGTGTCATTTGTGAGTGACCCAAAAGTGGGTTCATCTCGACGTTTCGCTACAATTGTATGTAGTTTCTTCAGGAGAACAAAGAAAAAGAAATCAAAAGACAGGAAGATGGGTAGTTAGCAACGGTAGCTCAGTTACTCAATGCAACCAGAGGCGAATACTAACTACCAAGATGGGCATTTGGTCACAGTAACTCAACTACTTAACGCAGCCAGAGGTGAAAACCAAATACCAGGACAGGGATTCACGTCCAACAGCTCAGAACACTAACGCGTCGAGAGGCGGGGAGTGAATCCCAAACTTTTTTTTCTCTTCCAGTACCAGAAACCTTTAATTTTAAATACGGAATATTCCATGTGTGGCACATCATTAAGCAGCTATTTCACTTGAGAATTAAAGCATCCATGATGTTTTTTTGTTAAAATCAAACTTCTATACTGGCGTTATATTACTTTTTTCTGTACAGTAAAATGCTGAGGCGAGCGCCACGAGAAGGTGTCACAAGTAGAGTCATAGAATAGCGGTTCTTGACATCAATTCACTACTCTCGATCAATTTGTTTGTATTGCGCTTCATACGCGCTTTGTATTGCTAAAAAAGGACATCTTGACGGCCGTCGAGATAAGGCCGTAAAGTGGTTTGTAAGATGTCATATTGCCTCGAATAAACACAAGTGGTGGATTGCCTACCATAGGCAATAGCCACCCAAACCATTAATCCAACTGTCTTGTGTACATGCATCTCAACAGCAAACCCGATATCTCGTCGCTTTCCACGGCGGCGTCTTACCATCATAAACAGAATCGAGATTCATCGCTGAATGCTACATTACGCCATTCTGCCACCTAATGCTGCCGTTCTTTGCACCAATTTAAACGTTGATGACAGTGGTCCGCAGTCAAAGGAAGCACTAGTCGTGGGCGGAATGACACCAATCCGAAATATTGAATGCGGCGGTATAGTGTACTCATTCTTCTTCTTCAGATGCAAATCCACTAATGGATGTTAGCGATCACATTTTCCATTAACTCTCTATTTCTTGCAATATGTATCAGAGATTGTATGTCGTTAATCCCTGTCCATTGCCTTATGTTTCGGAGCCAGGACATTTTCTTGCGTCCCATTCCTCTCTTGCCTTCAATTTTACCCTCGATTATAAGTTGGAGGAACTGGTATTTTCATTTCGCATGATGTGACCTAGATACGCCGTTTTCCTTTTCTTGATGGTTTCGAAAAGTTGGCGTTCTTGGTTTATTCTTTTAAGGACATCTATATTTGTGATTTTCGCTGTCCATGGTATTTTTAGGATACGGCGATAAAGCCACATTTCGAAAGCTTCCAATCTGTTTATATCCCTCGTTTTGAGTGTCCAGCCCTCTACGCCATATAGCAGCACTGACCATACGTAGCACTTAGTAAACCTTAGTCTTAGTTGAAGATCGAACTCAGAACAAGTCAGTACCTTCTTGAATTTTACGAAAGCTAGTGTACTCATACTAACAGGTATATCTACTACTCGATGATCTGTGGTACGCTTCAGTTGACCAGTTTTTCGTATTTCTCTACCTTCGTTTGTCCACACACGACAGACACAAACAACTGTCATTGCCGTACAATTACCACGACGGCCAATTTCGCGATACGACCAACCCATATCTCTATACGCAATAAGTCTACTCTGGTCAAAATGGTGGTAATTTTGTTGTCTTCGAACTCGAGGCATTTTCGTACACTGAACACAATTAGACCGAGGAATAATAACTAAAACTTTCTGTACGAACCGGTTTTAACAAATTGTTATCTTCATAAAAAAAAATTTAAAGATAAATCTTTTAGGAAAAGTAGAGAAGATAAAACATTGGTATTGCTATTATAGCATGTTATAAATATAGTTATTCTGTTGCCAAAAAATAAAGTTCAAGAAAAAATTCCTTCTTGGTGTAACACTTCTAATGTCACTAAGTATATTTTATTAATATTTGGTATGCTTCTTTGCTTTGTTAATAGGTTAACAGGTGGCGTCAGGACCAAACATAATTTATTGAATTTGTTTAAAATATAAAAAATACATAAAGAGTAATATTACTTAATTTAATTTCAAATATATTAACCAATTTAGGTCCACTTTTAGAAAACATAATAAAAGCAATAATTTTTTATTAAATATATATTTAATTAAACACAAATAAAGATAATTTAAAAGCTACCTACACCAAGAAAAAAAATACACGTCTATTTTTTTAACGTTGCGTTAACGCAACATTGGGACTATACGTATATTATAAAAAAATTTCACGTGTGGTAGTCGTTAAAACAATGTGGATGCAATGGTATATAAAATGTTTTACATATAAAAACAGTTATACTTTTAGATAGCCTACAACGTCTTCTCCATTTTTCATTATTGCGTTCAATCATGTGGCCCACATTATCCATCCGCGAGGTAGATAGTAAAGATGAACTAGAGCCACGACCTCTTAACAGATTTTGTGCTACTTGTTTTTAACACTAAGAAGGCTTCGCACAAGTTCTGACCTAAAATCTAACTGCGAAATTGGATTTTCCTCGTGTAGAATTCTGTAGGGTTTCCAGGAATTAACGACAGCAGAGTCTACCATGTTTATAAATAACAGCCACCACCATTTTTTCCCACGGATATTAGTTCTATAATTAGCCACTCCATTGTCATGTGCATCCCCTCCCCCCATGTATTTATTATAAGTGGCAGGTAGCACTCTTCTACAATCCCAGTAGAAGACAGGCTGCTACAGGGATTAGTGACCCTGCCGTATGCTAGCTTCTGGTTCTCCCTCCTTCCTTGCCTGAGGGAACCAGGTTCTAATACCCTTTTCCTATCCCCCCTTTTAAAACTCCTACCTTCATCCTACCAACTCGCACTGGCCAGTGCGGTAGAGTATGGCTAAAATCCAAGCATATTTAACACGACAAAAACACGGCCCTCAGTCCCCGGCAGTGAGCTGATCCTTGGTCAAGGTAGCGATCAAGAAAGACAGCAAACAGAGGGTGCGAAGAATCCCCGGGTCAGATCAGGCTACCACGGACGACGACAAATGTATATCGCCACGTACAATGTAAGAACACTGTCATCTGAAGAAAAATTACTGGAATTAGAAGAAGAGTTAAAACACATAAAATGGGACGTTATAGGTCTCTGTGAAGTAAGACGTGAAGAAGAAAACTGTATAACTCTTAAATCAGGGCATCAACTTTTCTATATGGGAAACAAAGAAAAAATAGGAGGAGTTGGACTTCTTATACATAAGAGACACACTAAAAATATCCAACAACTTAAAGGTATCAACCTAAGAATAATACTGTGCATACTGAAGCTTAATAAAAAAACCAGCCTTAAAATAAAATAATTCAAGCCTACGCACCTACATCTACACACTCGGACGAGGAAGTAGAAACCTTTTATGAAGACCTAGAAAATGCTGTAAAACTAGCGCCTACTACACACAACCTAGTAATGGGTGACTTTAATGCTAAATTGGGATGTAAACTAGACAGGAACGAAGTAGCAATAGGTCCCTATGGATTCGGACAAAGAAATGAAAGAGGCGAAATGTTTTTGGGTTTCTTGGTACGAAATATCCTCTTTGCAATGAATAGCTTTTTCAAAAAAAGTCCCCAAAGAAAATGGACCTGGGCAAGTCCAGATGGAGTCACCAAAAATGAAATTGATTTTGTCTTAACCAACAACAAAGACATGATCCATGATGTAACAGTTTTTAATAGCTGTTCAGTGGGAAGTAATCATAGAATGGTAAGAGCGAAGATCGTGCTAAATCTCCAAAAACAAAGATACAAAATGATAACAAAAACACACCCAATAGAATGGAATCCAATCGAAAACACCATGTCCTTCGAAGAGGAAATTCTGAGATGTCTAGAGACAACAAATATAGACGTTATGGATATCGAAACCTTAAATGATAACTTAATAAAAGCTATTAAGAACGCAGAGAAAAAGTGCAATACAAATTCTAGGAGAGATAAGGAGGAAAAGCTCAGTCAAGAGACAAAAAGACTTATGGAGGCACGAAGAGAACTTAAGAACAAAAACGATACGAATGCACGCGTACTACAACAACTTAATAAAGATATTAATAAAGCAGTGAGAAAGGACGTCGGACAATATAACACAAAAAAGATTACAACGGTTGTCGAGAAAAATAAAAGTTTAAAGGTGCTGAAGAGATGTCAAGCTCTAGGTAAGAAGAACATTGTTAAGCTCGCAGATCGAAATGGAAAAGTGGTAACAGATAAAGATAAGATAATTAAGGTAGTTGAAGAATTTTACACAGAATTATATAGAGAAAGGGGGAAGAAAGACGGCACCAAGTTGAGAAAAGTCCAGAATGTGGGTTCAGAGGATATCCCAGAAATAACAATCGAAGAAGTCTTAAAGTCATTAAATAGAATGAAAAACAATAAAGCAGCTGGTGATGATCAAATCGTTATTGAGGCAGTTAAAGCAGGAGGAAAGACAGTATTGAAAGCATTGACGCAATTATATAACTTATGCCTTTCAAACGAGGTTACACCATCTCAGTGGAATAAAGCTGTTATAGTAGTCATGCACAAAAAGGGAGATATAACAGAGCTAAAGAACTATAGACCTAT